TAAATAAATAAATAAATAAATAAATAAATAAATAAATAAATAAATAAATAAATAAATAAACAAACAAACAAACAAACAAACAAACAAACAAACAAATAAACAATCAATCAAACAAACAAACAAACAAACAAACAAACACACTTTCCAAGCAGAAATAGAACCACCATGGGATTTAGAGATAGTTCTCTTTGGGGTCCTTCTCTCAACTCAGGACTTGTTTGGGGGGTGTCCCGGGAAGCTTCCCCTCCCCACCAATGACCGCTACCCCCCCCCAACTAGGCAAAGAGAAAGGATCGGGCGGGGGAGACGACAGTAATGCTGTGTCCGCCTAACACACTTTCCAAGCCCTTGGGAAAGAGAACAAGCATGGGATTTAGAGATAGGCTGCTCCTGCAGCTGGAGGTTCTCTTTGGGGTCCTTCTCTCAACTCAGGATGTGTTTTTGGGGGTGGCCCGGGAAGCTTCCTCTCCCCTCCCCATGCACACATACGCATTTTCCTTGCAAGCAATTTATTTTTCATTGATTGATTTAATTTTTTTTTTAATTCCGCCTTCGTTCCTTTCTGGCAGAGAACCTATGAGGTCATCCTCGACTTACGACCACAATTGAGCCCCCATCCCCTTCCCTCCCCTCCAAAAATTTTGGTTGGTAAGTGAGACATTTGTCAGGTGAGCTGACCCTCATTTTGGGGACATGGAATGGAATGGAATATATGGAGAATAGAATGGAATGGAATGGAATGGAATGGAATGGAATGGAATGGAATGGAATGGAATATATGGAATGGAATATATGGAGAATAGAATAGAATAGAATAGAATAGAATAGAATAGAATAGAATAGAATGGAATGGAATGGAATGGAATGGAATATATGGAATGGAATATATGGAGAATAGAATAGAATAGAATAGAATAGAATAGAATAGAATAGAATAGAATAGAATAGAATAGAATAGAATAAGAATGGAATGGAATGGAATGGAATGGAATGGAATATATGGAATGGAATATATGGAGAATAGAATAGAATAGAATAGAATAGAATAGAATAGAATAGAATAGAATAGAATGGAATCGAATGGAATGGAATGGAATATATGGAATGGAATATATGGAATGGAATATATGGAGAATAGAATAGAATAGAATAGAATAGAATAGAATAGAATAGAATAGAATAGAATGGAATGGAATGGAATGGAATGGAATGGAATATATGGAATGGAATATATGGAGAATAGAATAGAATAGAATAGAATAGAGTTGGAAGGGACCTTGGAGGTCTTCTAGTCCAGCCCCCTGCTTAGGCAGGAAATCCTACGCCACTTCAGACAAAATTCAGACGCTTGGCTACTGACTGATAGATAAGACGGTTGCACTGCCCCGGGGTCACGTGATCCCCTTTTGCGACCGTCTGACAAACAACGTCAATGGGGAAGCCAGATTCACTTAATAACCGCGGTTACTCGTTTAACGATGGCAGCGATTCAGTGAACCACCGTGGCGGGAAAGATCATACAGTGAGGCAAAAGTCACTTAACAACCGTCTCGCTTAGCGAGGGAAATTTGGAGCTCAGTTGTGGTCGTACGTTGAGGACTTCCTCCATTCTGAAAAGCATGCCACCCTCTCGTGTGATTTTTTTTTTGTGTGTGTGTGGGTCTGCAGAGGACCCCTAAGAATGGGGTGTGCTTTTGCACAGTTCTTGCACCTTCTAAAAACGAGTGTGTTTGTTTTGTCTTTCCTTTTTTCTACTTATTTGAATTTTCTGTACACAACGCCAGTCATTTCCAAGGGTGTGAAAGTCTAATGGATAAAAATAAATAAATAAAATACCCAGCACCGCATTTCATTGGGGTGTGTGTATATATATATCAAGGACCCCACCGTCCTCCTCCTCCTCCTCCTCCTCCTGCTCGCACTCTACAAACCTCTCCCCCTTTCCAGCACTGATGTTGTTCCCTAGCTGGGTCATGAAACTTCTGCAAGGAAACCACCAAGCTCAGAGAGCACCAAGGATCCATCGACCCTGTTAAAGCATTTGGAGGGGGGGGGATTTCAGGGGATCTGAACTGAGCTCTCTTCCCCCCCCCCCGTCTGATGCTAAGCATGGCAGAAGATAAGCAACTTTCATCCTTCGTTTCAATCCCCCCTTCCCCCCCCCCCGTTCAAGCCACGTTGGCCAACAGCCCAGATTTGCTTGCGTTATCCCAAGCTGATTAATCCCTGGTTTAATCACAGGTTCTCCCCCCACCCGCCTTCTCTGGATGGGGGGACAGGAAACGGCCCCACCTTCCTGCCCCAGCGAGGAAAGCTCAACACCCCCAGAATGGCACCCTAATCTCTCTGCATCCAAAAGTGGATCACAAAAGACAGCCATACCCATTCCCCATCCTGACTGGGGGATTCTGGGAGTTGAAGTCCACCCTCAAGCATGTCAAGCTGGCTGGGGGATTCTGGGAATTGAAGTCCACCCATCTCTCAAGCAGCTGAGGTTAAGAAGAGACCATATCCTTTTGCAACTCATTATCGCTCCCCAAGCAACTACACAAGAGGTAGTCCTCGACTTATAACAGGCCCAGATTTCTCTCGCTAAGCGAGACGGCGGTTAAGCGAGCTTTGCTCCATTCCTTGAACTTAGAATAACTTCAGTGTCGCTTTGAACGTACACCAATCGGCATACATTAAAACGAAATTTCGTTGCACGCAGCTCCCCCACGGTGGTTAAAGGAAAGAGTGCAGTCGTTAAGTGAGGAACGCAGTTGTTAAGTGAATCTTGGTTTCCTCGTCGACCCGGCTGGTCAGAGGGTCGCAAAAAAGGGGATTGCATGACCCCAGCGGGACACTGCGACGGTCATAGATATGAGTCACGTGTCAAGCGTCTGGATTTTGATCCCGTGACCATTGCGGGGGGGGGAAATGCCGCAACGGTCATTAAGTGTGAAACATGGTTGTGCTGGTTAGAGGGTATAGTTCAGGGGTCTGCAACCTTAAGCACTCAAAAGAGCCATTTGGACCCGTTTCCCACAGAAAAGAAAACACCGGGAGTCACAAAACCTGGGTGGGCGTGGCCAACTCGATGTCACTCACTTCCACTGGTCACATGACACCCCCCTAGCCACGCCTACCGGGTCTGTCATTAGGGCAGAGAACTAGTTGTTAAAAAACACCGGGAACCACAAAATCCTTTTGACATCTCTCTCTCCTCCCTCCCTCTCTTTCTCTCTTTCTGTATCTCTCTGTCTCTCTCTCTCTCTGTATCTCTCTATGTCTCTCTCTCTCTATGTCTCCCTCTCTCTCTCTCTGTCTCTCTCTCTCCCTGTATCTCTTTGTTTCTCTCTCTCTCTCTCTCTTTGTATCTCTCTATGTCTCTCTCTCTCTCTCTCTCTGTATCTCTCTATGTCTCTCTCTCTCTCTCTCTCTGTATCTCTCTATGTCTCTCTCTCTCCTCCCTCCCTCTCTTTGTATCTCTCTATGTCTCTCTCTCCCTCTCTCTTTGTATCTCTCTATGTCTCTCTCTCTCTCTCTCTTTGTATCTCTCTATGTCTCTCTCTCTCTCTCTCTCTGTATCTCTCTGTCTCTCTCTCTCTCTCTCTCTGTATCTCTCTATGTCTCTCTCTCTCCTCCCTCCCTCTCTTTGTATCTCTCTATGTCTCTCTCTCCCTCTCTCTTTGTATCTCTCTATGTCTCTCTCTCCCTCTCTCTTTGTATCTCTCTATGTCTCTCTCTCTCCCTCTCTCTCTGTATCTCTCTATGTCTCTCTCTCTCCTCCCTCCCTCTCTTTGTATCTCTCTATGTCTCTCTCTCCCTCTCTCTTTGTATCTCTCTATGTCTCTCTCTCCCTCTCTCTTTGTATCTCTCTATGTCTCTCTCTCTCCTCCCTCCCTCTCTCCCTGTATCTCTTTATCTCTCTCTCTCTCTCTTTGTATCTCTCTATGTCTCTCTCTCTCCCTCTCTCTCTGTATCTATGTCTCTCTCTCTCCCTCTCTCTTTGTATCTCTCTATGTCTCTCTCTCTCCTCCCTCCCTCTCTCCCTGTATCTCTTTATCTCTCTCTCTCTCTCTTTGTATCTCTCTGTCTCTCTCTCTCTCCCTCTCTCCCTGTATCTCCTTATGTCTGTCTCTCTCTCTCTCCCTCTCTCTCTGTATCTCTTTATCTCTCTCCCTCTCTCTTTGTATCTCTCTATGTCTCTCTCTCTCCCTCTCTCTCTGTATCTCTCTATGTCTCTCTCTCTCCTCCCTCCCTCTCTCTGTATCTCTCTATGTCTCTCTCTCTCCTCCCTCCCTCTCTTTGTATCTCTCTATGTCTCTCTCTCCCTCTCTCTTTGTATCTCTCTATGTCTCTCTCTCTCCTCCCTCTCTCCCTGTATCTCCTTATGTCTGTCTCTCTCTCTCTCCCTCTCTCCCTGTATCTCCTTATGTCTGTCTCTCTCTCTCTCCCTCTCTCTCTGTATCTCTTTATCTCTCTCCCTCTCTCTTTGTATCTCTCTATGTCTCTCTCTCTCCCTCTCTCTCTGTATCTCTCTGTGTCTCTCTCTCTCCTCCCTCTCTCCCTGTATCTCCTTATGTCTGTCTCTCTCTCTCTCCCTCTCTCTCTGTATCTCTTTATTTCTCTCTCTCTCTCCCCCCCCCCCTCTCTCTCTGTATCTCCCTGTCTCTGCCCTGGCCGCTTCTCCATCCCCCCACCGTCACCCTTACCTTCTCAGGCGTGGCTGGGAGGGGAGGGCGAGGCGAGGGGCCCGCCAGTGGTGGGATCACCTGACAGGGAGCCACAGCAGAGGGCCCAAAGAGCCGCATGTGGCTCCAGAGCCGCAGGTTGCTGACTCTTGGCATAGTTAGTTTAGGAATGAAGAACTGCCCCTTTAAGAGATTGCCTTTTGAGAAATGCAGGATTGCTCTCTGGGAAATGTAGTTCTATGTCACTTGGTCACTCTCTGTGTTTCCGATTGGTCACTGGGGGCAAACTGCCTACCTGGTAGAACAAAGCCCATCCATTACGAATTCCAGCCGAGGAGGAGCTGCACGTGGGGGTAAAAATCTACCTCTCTCTTTTCTTATCTTTTTTTTTCTCCACAATGCAACTGGGATAGATTATGAGCCGTCGGAAGAAGCTCTTCATGGACTGTGAGTTATTGACTTGAGAATACCTGATAAATAAATGCCACCTGCATGAAACCTGCATGAACAAATAAGGAAAAAAATCCCATTTTCAGCTGGGAAAACAGCTGTGTTGGCATCCTCAGCTTTGCAAAAGTAAGATGGGACTTTATCTAAGGGAATTTGCCCTGGCACCGAATGGGAAAGAGAAGCCCCAGAATTTGCCTAAGAAAACCAGCTTTCCTGGGGTCAGCTCACTCTGCGTTTGAAAGGCTAGCCCCCCACCCCACCCCATGAAACCTTAAGTACACCCAACCTGCCTTTTAACTAAAAGTTACTATCCAGCTGACTCTTGCTTAAAAGGAACTAGGAAAGCAAATTCCCCTTTTGTGCCATAGAGCGTTGCACAACAGAACAACTAGACACAAGGACAGTTTTCCCCCCCCCCAAACGCCATCACTCTGCTAAACAAATAATTCCCTCCACACTGTCAAAACTATTCACTAAGTCTGCACTACTATTAATCTTCTCATCGTTCCCACCACCCATCTGCTTCCACTTAGGACTGTTAAGACTGTAATTTTGTTGCTGGTATCCTTACGATTTATATTAATATTGTTTCCTGATTGCTTATTTGTAAACTATGACCATCATTAAGTGTTGTACCTTATGATTCTTGAGGAACGTATCTTGTCTTTTTATGTACACCGAGAGCGTCTGCACCAAAGACAAATTCCTTGTGTGTCCCATCGCACTTGGCCAATAAATAAATAATTCTGTTCTGTTCTGTTCTATTTAGAGTTGCAAGGCATCCACTGTCCAATCTCGGGGGAAAGCCCTTAAGGGACCCCAGAATCGGACATCAGCATTGCAATCCTCAACAAAGGGAGAAGCCAAAGACTACTTGCTCCAACATTACTCCACGGTGGTACGCCCTCTGGCGGCCAAGCTGCAAACGACAGTCCTGTATTCAAGCTACCAGCATGCAATGCACCCTAGTGGTCAAAGAGTAAATTGCACTGCCATCTCTTCAAGAGTCCAGAAAATTCCCTTGGCCAATCCTAGCGCATGCAGCGCACCCTAGTGGTCGAAGAGTGAATTGCACTGACGTCTCTTCAAGTGTCCAGATAATTCCCGTTGCCAATCCTAGCGCATGCAATGCACCCTAGTGGTCGAAGAGTAAATTGCACTGCCATCTCTTCAAGTGTCCAGAAAATTCCCCGAGTCTTCCGTAGTCATGGCAGAGGCCTCTAAACGTGCCAGAAGAGCTGCCCCTCCCAACTAACCTTGACACAAATGGAGAACCCGCTGTCCAAAATCCAGAAAAGGCAGAAACATCTCGGAAACCTTATGGCTTGTGGCAACAAAGAAAGATTACTGAAGTCGCGCAGTCCAGCCTGTGGGAAGATTGGGACACATACGAATGTGCCCATGATCGATCCTGGGAGACATTGCTGCGTCTCCGCAACACGCCCAAAGAGGAGCTCTCCCCTGAACTCATCCGCTCATTGGAGGAAAGGATGGAGGGCTGTACATAACAGGGAAAGCTTGTGTGCACAACCTCACCTGCTGTTCTGTCCCCGTCTCACACACGCACACAAACAGACAGTCGGGGGTTAAATAAACTGGCAGACAATCAATTCTTCCGATAAGATGCTTGGCAGCAACCCAGTAGCTGCTTGCCAAGAACTTTACTCAATAAACAAAATACCCACAGTCAAGAATTGTCCAGTTCGTAAAATAAATCCAAGGCCGATAATGTTGTTTCCAAAGATGCAATGTGACTCGATAGTAGTTAGTTTTGTCCGTCACAGAGTCTGAATGGCCACCTCACCCCCTTTTATACCCTGTGGGGTGTGGTCCAGTGACTCAGCCTAATCTCTGGCATGCCTTTTCTTCCGTTGCGTGCACTTATCTCTGCGACGTTGGCGTGGATCCAGCCAAGACTCATTACCCTCATCACTGTCCACCTGTGGCTGCGTGGATGTGCTTGGCCCCGGCCCTATCTCTTGCCCTTCGGCGGACACCGAAGGCATTGCCAGAGAGGAGGGTCCTGGAGAGGGAGGCCTTGCCAACTCCTCTCCTTCACTCTCGGACTCCTCTCCTGCGATGACACAGGCTCAGGTAACAGAGCCAAAACACCTGCATCCAGCCGCAGTTAATAGGCCCAGGGCTCAAAGAGGACATACGACACCTCAAGAGGATAAACAAAGATTGCGAGGCGCTCTTTCAAAGCAAGTTCTTTCAAGGCAAGGAGGACTTTCCCCAAACAGATCTTCAGGCGGAGGACACACTGAGCGAGAAGGCTGAGTCCAAAGTGACCCATCGTTCACATGCGCCATCCCAGCGGTCGCATGTGGCCTCCTCTCGCTCGTCTAAAAAGAATCAGATTAGCCTATCGGCAACAGCGAAGGCTTCTCAGCAGGTAGGCACACAAGAAGCCGCAATTCCCAAGCTCAATGTAAAGGCAAGGGAATTCCTGCCAGGCATTCAAGGCTACTCGAGCACGGACATCGATCCACCTGCCTGGCAGCGAGGAGAACAACCTCCGTCCGTGTCATGGAAAATTGACCTTGTCACGATGTACTCTGCAGAAAACTACCAGCTGTCTTTGGCACACACCCCTACTCCTGACGGCTATGCTTGCCGGGACCCACGGGAAGCCCCTGGTACTGCTGCTGTCAACTCCATAGGGTACGTCGTACCGCCTTCCCCTGACTACAGTTCCTGTGTAGCCACAATGGATCCTCCAACATCCAGGAGAAGAAAAAGAGGACAGTTACCCCGGCGGGATTTGGCATCTAGTGGTGTGCACAAATTCTCTGACAAACCGGGCAGAGAGTATTTACTGTGGAAGCATCTCTTTAGAAACATCCTCATTAATGACGGAGGGTTGCGGCCAGCTGAAGAGCTCAAACAGATGATTGCATGGCTAGGACCAGCATCTGCAGAAGTAGTAAGAGACATCTACTCAGCCCAACTAGGTAACCCAGTCACCGCTCTCAGCCGATCTTGGGATCTGCTTGATCAACGGTATGGCGCATCTACATTGACGGAATCCTCGCTTTTAGATCGTATCAACGACTTCCCGGATATCAGTCTCAGCGAACCTCGCGCGTCAGTCTGTGGTGACTCACCATCCCGTCGCTCTTGCCACTGGATCAGCTTAGCTAAAGTCTACCCCGAAGGACGCCCCGAAGAAGCTGTGAAAATGTATGTAATAGTGGGCACGCAAAGCAATCAATCGTTAGCCAGGTCAGCATTCTTCGACCTCTTTTGATGTCCAAAGTGAGGAAACACACTTCACGATATCAATGTGCACCGGGCACCAGCACACGGCAGGGAGGAAAGTCACTGGATTCTGGATAGAACCATTAGATGGGAGTGCACGGTTCCAACTGCCGGCTGTCAGATTTCAGTGTCGTCTCAAATAAATTGCATTTCCAAACAAATAGTCTTTGATGAAATCTTTCATTTATTAAGCACGACAATCTGTCCCCGACTCGTCGTAGCCAGCACTGACTTCCTGACCCCAAACCTTCCCTTTCCGTTCCCCAATTCTCTGCGTCTCATTGGCCATCTTCCAAATCACTCTCCCCATATCTACTACTTCAGCTCCCAGGAATGTCCCCCCTCCCATCCCATCTCCTAGGGGATACTACCTTCAGGGAAAATAAGTAGGTGAAAAGTCAAGCGTCCTCTTGCCAGCTGCCCCCTCTCCTCCTCCTTATGTCAGCACTGGAACGAATGTAGTTTGGAGTGCTGACACCAGCATTGCTAGAATGGGACACCTTGCCAGATAATCGCAGTCAGATTCCAACGTCGGAGGTAGCAAGCACCATACCCCACCTGAGGCACATGGCTAATCACTTTCATGCTCTAGATCCTGAAGCCGAAATCCTGCTCATGTTGGGAGTGGATGCCCCCGATGCTTTCCTTCACCAGGCAGTGGTCAAAGATCCAGCAGGCTCTGCATTTGCCCTCAAGACAGCATTCGGATGGGTCATCTTAGGGACGGTTTGTGTCAACTGCCTGTAGACTCCCAACCCAGATGAATGTCTTCGCGACTTCCATTCTCAGTAATGGAGAGCATCCCGCTTGAAACCATGCCAGGAACATTTCACGACTTCAACAAACAACCCTGTTTTTAGGAGCGACAGGGTTCCAGACCAGCAAAGACGACAATGATAGAAGACAAAGAATTTCTGCAGCTCATAAATAAGGAACTTCAACAAGATGCCATCGGGAGCTGGGCAGCCCCACTACCCTTTCGCATTCCCAGGCAGCGCCTGCCGAACAACTATGAGCAAGCTCTCTCCCGCCACATCGGACCGAGGAGGATCCTGAATAGGAAGCCCGAGATGAAAGCTCATCTGGTGGAATTCATGGACAAGATGATTGTTCTGTCCTCGTCCCACACACGCACCCCCACAGACGGCCCGGAGTTAATAAGCCACACGACAAAGTCTTTGAAGATAAAGCTGGCAGCAATCCAGTGGCTAGCTGCCAATTCAGACTTTACTCACACAAAACAAAGATTAGACTGCAAGCATTCCGATAAAGCAGGCAAAGTTTCAGCAATACAAGTATTAGTCCAAATGCAGTCCGACAAGGCAGGCAGAAGTTCAGTAACGCAGAGATCATGGATTATTTCCAGTTTTTGCTCGTCACAAACTGAACCGGCCACCACACCCACATTTATACCCTGTGGTGTGGTCCAGTGACTCAACTAATCTCTGGCACGCCTTCCCCTCTGCTGCGCACGCTTCTCCCTGCGCCGCTGCCGAGGATCCAGCCAGCACTTATCTCCTTCGTCGCTGTCCACCTGTGGCTGCGGGGACGTTCTTGGCTCTGGGCCTATCTCTTGGCCTTCGGTGTCCTCTGGAGGCATTGCCAGAGAGGAGGGTCCTGGAGAGGGAGGCCTTGCCAACTCCTCTCCCTCACTCTCAGAGTCTGCATCTGTCAATAGCTCAGGCTCAGGCAACGGAACCACAACAATGGTCTAGAACGGACACGCCGAGCTTGCCCCAACCCTGAGAAAAGATGAATGCTGGTACCTGCCATTCTTCGGAGTGTTTGTTGTTGTTGTTAGTTACAAAGTCGTGTCCGACCCTTTGTGACCCCATGGACAATGGTGGTGAACTCTTCGGAGTGTACCATCCACCAAAAACATGTCAGATACGAGTAGTCTTCGATGCCAGCATGCAGTTCCAAAGTCCTCTCTCTGAACAAAGTCCTTCTCAGAGGGCCTGACTTCACCAACAGGCGTGCTCATCCGCTTCAGAAAGGAAGCCACAGCTGTCGTGACCGACACCCAGCAGATGTTTTACTCGTTCCTCGTCTGGGAAGATCATCGCAACTACCTACGTTTCCTGTGGTTCAGTGACAAACAGCACAACCAACAGATCACAGAATACAGAATGCGAGTGCCCATCTTTTGGGAATAGTTCTTCCCCTGCTATCGCCGACTATGGCCTGCAACACACAGCTTGCGTGGGCGAAGCCAAATACGGTGCAGATGCCAGACGTTTCGTGGAACGGGACTTCGACGTTGATGACGGCCTGAAATCTGTACCCACCCCAGCAGAAGCCTTAGACTTATTAAAAAAAACATGCCAGATGCTAGCGGGCGCCAACCTCAGGCTCCACAAGATCACATCCAACAGTGAAGAAGTGGTAGAAGCCTTCAGTCCTGAAGACTACGCCAAGGAACTACGGGACCTCAATTTTGGCACCAATACTCCTCTTATCCAACGCAGTCTCAGTCTATGTTGGGACTTGAAGGACATATTTATCTTTAGAGCCCCAGCCCAGAAGACCATCTTCACAAGGAGAGGAGTTCTATCAACAGTGAACAGCCTGTTCGACCCTCTAGGGTTTGCTGTGCCCGTAACGATCCAAGGGAAGCTCCTTCTGCATACGCCCAAAGCACTAAAGATTGGGACGAGCTGTTTCCGCCAGAACAGAAGCAAGACTGGGAGACATGGTTGCCTCCTTGAGTTATCTCCAAAGTGTCCATGTATAGCGCACGTATGTTCCCATCTCATCCACCACCGCATCGAAGAAAGAATTGCATGTCTTCTCAGATGTGTCAACGACAGCAATAGCAGCCGTGGGATACATCAGGGTCTACGGCAGGGAGAGTGACATTCACGTCGGCTTCGTCATGGGAAAGGCGAAACTAGCACCACAACAAGGTCACACCATACCGAGGTTGGAACTCTGTGGTGCCGTACTGGCTGTGGCACTCGCAGACCTAATAATGAAAACGATGGACCTTGAGCTACAACCCACCACCTTCAATACGGACAGCAAGGTGGTGTTGGGCTACATTCACAACCAAAGCGGACGCTTCTACGTCTATGTGAGCAATAGAGTAGAAAGGATCAGAAGATCTTCAAGTCCTGACCAGTGGCGGAATGGACCAACGGACCAGAACCCAGTGGACCATGCTACACGGTCTATTCCTGCATTGACTTGGCTAAAAGGTCCTGAGTTCTTGGCTCGCCCGGACAGCCTGATGTCAGTGAGACCAGAACAGTACAAGCTTCTGGCCCCAGATCAAGACGACGACGATCGACCTCAGGTACCCAGCAAATCGCTCAGAGAGGACAAGAATACGACCGTCCAGGCCACCTGTTTGTCGACAAGGATCAAGGAGACAGAAAAACAGCCCCTTAACCATCCCCTAGAACCGGCTCACTTCGTATGCTTCTCCAGATGGAGACCTCTCGTATTGGGCGTAGCAGTGATCGTCCGTTTCCTGCATCGTGAGACAAGTTCCCCAGATAGCTATCTCCAAGCACAGAGAGGAATACTACGAAGCGTGCAACAAGACGCACACCCCGTAGTGTTCGAGCGTTTAAAAGCTGGGAAGCCTATTCTGAAGTCTAGCCCACTTCTGAGGCTAAACCCGTTCCTTGATAGCCATGACTTACTTCGAGTAGGGTGGGCGTCTAGACAAGGCTAAAATAGCCCCAAATATCAAGCATCCTGCCATCCTTTCCACTCGTCAACATGTGACGAACCTACTGGTCCAACACCACCACGAAACCGTCCACCATCAAGGCCGGCACTTCACAGAAGGGGCCATCAGGGCTGCCGGACTCTGAATCGTGGGAGCCAAGAGACTCATCGCTACCATCTTGCACAGGTGCCTGCATTGTCGCAAACAACGGGGTGCGACAGAACACCAGCTGATGGCTGACCTGCCACCCGAGCGTCTTAGTCCTGGACCGCCATTCACCAATGTAAGTCTAGACGTCTTTGGCCCTTGCTTGGTCCATGACTGCCGGCCGGACCAGAGGCGATCCAGGTAACAGCAAACTTTGGGCCGTTCTTTTCACATGTCTTAACATTCGAGCTGTTCACATTGAAGTCATCGAATCCATGGACACCTCCTGCTGTATCAATGCTCTAAGAAGGTTCAAGTCTACAGAGGCCCAGTCAAGTCCTGACCGCGGAACGAACTTTGTAGGCGCCTGCAAGGAACTACAGATTGATGAGGGCACTCACCTCGATCCAATAATTGATGACTACCTAAAGACCAATAACTGTGTATGGACATTTAATCCTCCCCATGCATCCCATATGGGAGGAGCATGGGAACGTATGATCGGCGTAACTCACAAAATCCTAGATTCCACGTTGACAAAGACACCCGTGCTGACGCACAAGATCCTCACCACCTGTTCTGTCCCCGTCCCACATGCACACACACCAACAGACGTCCAAGAGTTAAAGACCAAACCAGCCAGCAAAATCCTTTTCCTTATGATAACGGAACTTGGCAACAACCTAGTGGCTGCCTGCCAAGAGTTTATTACTTACGAAGAGGAGAGATAACTTCTCCCCACTTCTGGTACAACAAAAGAAACAGCTCAATAATTACAGAGTCAATCAAGTCCAAAGATAATCCAGCAAAATCTATAGCAAAAGTCCGGCAATGCAGAATGGCATGGAAGCTTTCAGCTTTGTTCGTCACAAGGTTTGACTGGCCACCACGCTCCCTTTTATATCCTGTGGGGTGTGGTCCAGTGACTCAGCCTTATCTTGGGCACGCCTTTTCTTCTGTTGCGTGCATTTATCTCTGCGACACTGGCGTGGATCCAGCCAAGACTCATTACCCTCATCACTGTCCACCTGTGGCTGCGTGGACGTGCTGGGCCCCGACCCTATCTCTTGCCCTTCGGCGGACACCGAAGGCATTGCCAGAGAGGAGGGTCCTGGAGAGGGAGTCCTTGCCAACTCCTCTCCTTCACTCTCGGAGTCCTCTCCTACCGATGACACAGGCTCAGGTAACGGAGCCACAACACCACCCTCATGGCAGTTATCATCAACGCTCAACCTTTGGTTCCAGTTTCCTCGGATCCTGAGAATCCGACTACCCTACAGGATCGCCGCAAATGGAAGATCAAAGATTCTAACCTAGAAGGAGGAGACCTTGTCTTGT